GGCACCGCCCGCCCGTCGCCCCTGTGGGGTGGGTACAGGTGCACGCCGTCTCCGTCTTCTCCCGGCTGCCCTGTCTTGCGGGGTCGCCGTGCCCCAGGGAGCAGAGCCTTCGGGCTTGGGGTTTCTGCCTTTGAAATGAAAAATCCCGGAGTAAGGTTTGGAGGCCCCTGTCAAAAACGACAATGCCTTGGCGCTAGGCATTAGACGTTGCAAATCTCCACGGCTTGGGTATACTGCAAAAATTTTCAGTAAGTTGGGGAGGGGAATATTCAAGCCTCTGAAACCACTTTTCAGAAGTGATGTTCGCACCATGTTTTCTTTGCCCAGACCTCACCTTTAGCGTTCTGTCACCGAGCATTGAAAATAACCTACTCTGCAAAAAGCAAACGGATACCCGTTCTGTGGAAAAATCACTATCCCAAGAAGAAATGTTTTCAGTGAAAGCCTCTTCCCAGGTTAACTGCGGGCATTGAATATTACCTTCCCATGATCCCCAGTGTTCACTAGTACCGTATTTAAAGTGCTTAGAACTTCCGCGGAAGAGGGTGGGAAGGGTGAATTTGGGTGATTTTGGTGTCATGTCGAGCTGATGCTGTTTCCTCTGGTGGTGCTTGCTGCTGTCACGTTGTGAACTGCTTTTTAGCATATGATCTGAAACTAGCTTGTGATTTATTGCAGAGTGCAATCAAATCAGTTTGATTCACATGTACCTCTTTTGCTCCCCAAAACCCCAAGTCTTTTAGTGTAGTTTTGAAGTTACTGTAATGTCTCTTCATCTGTCTGTTTAAAGCGTGTGCAAGTGTCATTGCCCATCATTGTTATAATTGAAAACTATATGTTGTATAAAGAATAATACAGTAGCTGGCTTCATGTTCTGAGTAATTTTAAGAGTGTCATGTGTGCTGGGAGTCCTTCCCAGGATTTGCTTTCTCTCTGTTTCTTTGAGTTGCATGTATTTTGCAACGGGGAAACAAGTATCTTGCCTCTTTTGCTTCTTTAATTGAGATGGGGGTGGAATACAGAGTTGAATAGCGGCAGAATTCTAAGTAATAGCTTGGGGGAAAGAAAAATGGCAAAAAGCTTCCTGAATGCAATGGCAGTCTTCTCTTCTTCCTCCTCCTCTGCTGCAATCCTTACCTGACCCTGATGCTGCAGCAGAGAGCTGGCCTGCTGCTGCTTCTCGTGAGTGTGCAGAGCAGGTAGGAGGGAGCAGAATGAAACTGCTTCACAAGTCACTGGCAGGTTGCACAAGTTGCTGTCATCCTCGGGCGCCCCCCCCCCC